GGTGTGATTTATGTTTTTGTTCATGTAATATATATGTTTTTTTCTCTTGCCTTATTATGTTCTTTTCTCTTCGTTGGAAAATTTATTATTTTTCTTGTCTCATTATGTTCCTCCCTTGTTTTTATACTTCTTTAGTTTCATAATCTAATTATTGATGTGTAGCCCTATAACTAGGTAGAATTTTAAACGCATTATGAAGAAATAATAAAGGAAAAAATAATAAAAATAATAGTTTATTATTTTCCTAAAAAAGAGGATATAAGGAGAGAAAAGGAAAGAAATTAGGAACAAAAACCTCTCATCTCCTTCTCTAAATTACTATATGAAACTTACTCAAATACCCATTTAATCTATTATCATATACTAGACTCATTTAATTTAGATACCATATATATATATATATTAATTGAATTTTTTTAAACAATTCTTAATAATTCTTATATATAATCTATCTATCATCGTGTGTGATTGTATTCTTACAAGACGGACTCTCTGTAAGATATAGGTAAAATATTAAATAAATTTAATAATTAACATTACTTTAACTATACGTTATGTATGACACTCAACTATAATTAGATAGCAGCATAGTTAGAACCACACACGGATTTCCACCGGGGTAGGGAACCATAGAGGGGGTTTCAGGTTGTGCCAAAACTCCTACCTGGCTATAACTCCATCCCAAACTTCTTAATAGGGATAGAACTTTTAAATTCCAGTTGCATATATTAGATAGTCTCTCACCCTGTCTTGAATATATGTTCTAAGTTAGGCAATTTTTAAATTTAAGGGAATGAATTATAGAAATAAAATAATTAATCTTGCTTCATTAACCTTGAAAACTAGCAACCCAAACCCGTACTACTTGTTATACTAATTAAGTTTATTTGACTGGCAATCACTTCATGAAATATATTAATATGATTGATTTGTATCTATGACATTTATATCATTGATAATATGTATATATGACATTTATAACATTGATAATATATAATATAAATCTCATTTATAACATATCCCCACACATATGATCTTACAATTCCTCAATAAGCCGATTTGTAGGTTTCCTGGCTCTTTGTGATTTCCGCGTTTCTAGTTTTCCGTTATCTTCCACATTTTCTAAAATCTCAACTATATCCGACTCTTTATTTTTTATATTTTCCTCTTCTCTCTCTGACTCCATATTTTCTCCATTATCTTTCCCTGGCCCAGACTTCTCCATTTCTTTAGCTACCTCCCTTTTTCGAAGTTGATCCGCATGCTTTCGTACCATTCTATCCTTGCTTTCTACCAAATAAGAATATCTGCCAGTTCTGGATTTTATAATTCCTTCTCTCCAACCTGAATTTATTTCATTATGCACCCATACCGGTTGTGCAATCTCAAATTCTCTCATATGACTATGTTCATCATGACCTACTTTTTGTCTTATATTCGATCGTTCCATTTCATAACTAACATTAGGACGTAACCAATTCAATCCCGTTTTTAAATTTCGCCCCAATAATAACTTAGCCGGTGAACGTCCAGTTGATTGATGCTCACCCATTCTATATGCTAGCAAAACTTCTCCCATGGCTTCCTCGGGCTCCCTGATGTCTTTCCTAGTTGCAAAATATCGACTCTTGAGGGTTCGTATCGTTCTTTCCGCTAAACCGTTCATTTTTGGATGGTACGGTGTTGTATGTATCAATTTAATATTTTTCTCGAAACAAAATTTTCGAAATTCTCCAGAAATAAATTGAGGTCCATTATCTGATACGATTTGTCTAGGTGTTCCAAACCGTGCGAACCATTTCCTTAAAACCCTGATCATTGTCGTGGACGTGGTCTCTCTCATTAATTCAACCTCAGCCCATTTAGTATGTGCATCAACTCCAACTAACCATGAATACGAATCAATAGGCCCCGCGAAATCCAAATGAATTCGTTCCCATGGTATATTAGATATGTTCGACGAATATAAAGGAACCTCCATAATATTCGACCGATTACTTTGACAAGGCATACATTGACGAACATATTGTTTATCGCAATTCGGCCACCAGCAATACATTCTAAAAATTGATTTCATAGCATTTATTCCTGGATGCCCTCTGTGTATAATCGTTAAAATTGATTTCCTCAAAATGATTGGAATTACCAACCTCCCATTCCATTCAATAACATCATGATCTACTGACAATTCCTCTCTACGATTATAAAAACAAACTAACTCTGTATTTTTTTTCGCATCAAAATCCACCCATCCATGCTCAATATTTTTAACTACTTTTTTAAACAAGCTATCATTCCTTGTTTCCTTTTGGAGTTCAACTTGACTAATATTTATATCGTGCAAATTTATAGCTCTAATTTTTAACGCGTTTTTTTGATCATTATTTGATTTTATGCCATCTATTGGCAGTCTAGATAATGTATCAGCTACTTTATTATCTTTTCCAGGAACATATTCAATATCAAAATCATATGCGGACATTTTCCAAGCCCAGCGCGTTAATCGACTATTGGATATTTTTGGTAGTTCCCGTTTATCACCAAATAATTTTTCCAAAGGTTTGTGATCTGTTCGTAATAAAAATTTTCGACCAAAAATGAATGTATGAAATTTTTCCATACCAAACAAAAGTGCTCGTGCCTCTTTTTCTATTGGTGCATAATTTTTCTCTGACTCTAGAAGTGTTCTCGAGGCAAATGCGATTGGTCTGCTAATATCTTTTTTCACTAAATGACATAACACAGCTCCAAAACCAGTGTTGGAAGCGTCACATTCCAATATAATTGGCAAGTTTGGCGAAGATGGAATTAGCGTTTTATTTGTTGACAAAAGCTGTTTTATTTTATCAAATACCTCTTGTTCCTTGTCCGATCAACCCCAGCAAGATTTAATGCTTGTTAATTTATGCAGAGGAGCAGCAATTCCATGTAGATGTGGCAAAAATCTCTCGTGATAATTCACAAGTCCTAAAAAAGATCGTAATTGGTGTATATTATTAGGAGTTGGTATCCTTCGAATAGCATCTATTTTTTCTTTCGCTGGATGTATTCCATATTTGTCTATTACGAAACCCAAAAAAGAAACTGATTCATTTAAAAAACGTATTTTGGCCCATTTTGCCTTCATACCCACCTGTTTTAGTTTCATTAGTACTTTTTTTACGCTATTCAAATGTTCTACACATTTTTCCCCGTTATGATAATATCGTCAAGATATACTCCAGTCATTTGGCAGTCTTGTAATAAATTGTCCATATATCTTTGAAATATGGTCGGCGCAGTAGAAAGACCGAAAGGCATACATTGATATTGGAAATAACCAATGTGGTTCGATATGGTTAAGTATTCTTTTGAACTTTCTTTTATTGGTAATTGTAAATATGCATCTTTCAAATCTATTACCGTAAATTTCAATCCATCTTTTAATTTGGTTAAAAGATCATCCACCGTTGGTATAATATGATAATCGTACAAAATATATGGGTTTAATGTCACCTTAAAATCCGCACAAATCCTGATTTCTCCATTTGTTTTTCGTACGTTTATCGTTGGAGTGGCCCATGTCAATCGTTTTTGTGTTGGATCAATCGCCTTCAATATTCCTGATTTAACCAATCTATCGAGTTCCATTTCAATTGGTTTTCGTAATGGAAAAGGTACTCTACGAGCTGGCCATGATTTCGGCCTTGCTGCCTCACTAATGTATGCTAACTTCTATATCATTCACACGTCCAGGCTTGTCATCAAAAACACTAATAAATTCTGTTGTCATGCCAGCAATTTGTTTATTGGTTGTCATAACCTCTTTATTTGTGATACTACGTATAGTCACTTGTCGTGGAATAAACATATTAAATGCCAGTATCCATGGTAGTCCAAATAATGGAATGTCATTTGAACCGGTTACCACAATCGGTAGTGATCTGCTTATCTTTCCAAGACGAACCCTCACCATAGTTTCACCCAGCACATCTAGCGGTTGGTTACCATATACTGATAAAGGTTTGGTTGGTCCAAGTTTGGGTCGGCCAATTTCATCCCAATATTGTTTCCCAATCACCGATACCTGTGCCCCCGTATCATAGTCAAATTCTATACCCATATAAGCAAATAATATTTTTTTTTTGGTTTCATTATTTATTAATATACCTCTTATCTCCAACATATCATCAATATATTCAATGCAATCGGCAAAGTTCTTATGATTATCGAAATTATCGAATTTGATCATAATGTTATCATTTTTTTCTTCTTTATTCATAATTACTTTATTTTTGTCTTCTTTATTCATAATAAATCATCGACAACGTCGCCAATATACTAATTAAGTTTATTTGACTGGCAATCACTTCATGAAATATATTAATATGATTGATTTGTATCTATGACATTTATATCATTGATAATATATATATATGACATTTATAACATTGATAATATATAATATAAATCTCATTTATAACACTTGTTAGTTGATAATTGGTTTGATATATCTTGTATTCTAATAAAAATTAAGTTTATATTAAATATATTTCTACAAAATATATCCGGTTAAAAAATTTTTTCATTTTCCCCTTTATACGATTAAATATAACATATAACGAGTAAATTATTATTCCACTCTAATGCTTATGTTATCTAAATACCTTATAATATAAGATAATAACCTGATCGGATGGCCTTGCCCTCCCCTTTTACAATATTTGAAACCAAGGATATCATCCGTAATATATCTTATGAGTAGCACAAAAAAATGAAAATATATACATAGTTTGGTCTCTTTATCTCCGATAAGGATTATCACTCGAAATATATCTTGTAGGTAGCACACAAATAAGTAATGGAACTTTATAAACTATATTTACATCAGAATGACATAATTTGAAATGAATATATATATATTATTTTTTTCTCTTTCCCTTTCTCTCTGTTACAGAATCGGCACGGTAATCATAATAAATTTAAAAAAAAAATTTTCAATGAAGGACCACAGTATTATAATGATCTCTTTAAATATAAGATCCCTGAATGACAAATTAACTATACTTAGGCAGGTCATGAATGACCAACATTATGATATCTTCCTTTTACAAGAAACCCACCTTAAAGTAACTGAAGTAAGAAACCTCTCAGATTATACCTTATATTGCAGTTCGAACGCTGAACACGTATGGGCTGGGGTGGCGATTTTAATACATAATAAATTAATAAAATTCGTAAGCTTCAACCCAATCTCCAGTCGAATATGCTGCCTTACCTTAAACTTAGGATACAAAAAAATTCATTTGTTTAACGTATACGCACCTCACAATGATAGTATTTTTTATATGGAATTGGAAAATATCTTAAAGGAACTACCGTGTCTGGATGGTATCATCTTAGCAGGCGATTTCAATGCTTCGGTAGGCAAACCTAATAATTCTCCCTGCCTTGGAAACGCCGCATTAGTACGAAGTACGAACCACAACGGTAAAAGGTTAATAGAAATATGTGAACTCTTCAACATGAAAATTGGAAATACGTTTTTCAAGCATCCTATTCATCACATCGTGACTTACAAGAGTCCTTTCTTTGGCACTACCTCACAGATAGATTACTTTGTAATTTCCACAAAGATCTTCAAGTGGGTAAGAGACATCAGAGTAATCAGTAAACTAAACCTTACACTTTTTACAGACCATTACCCACTGGCCTGTGAACTCAGAATCAATAATAGCATTTTCCCAAATCACATTAATCAGAACTGTCTCACCAGTGTAAGATTCATAGCCAGAAAAGACTTGGCACAGCTCAATACTTAGAGGTGAAGGAAGAGTTCGTCACTAAATTAGCAACATGAAGAATACATTTAATGGCATGATTAACCCAAATCTGACCTGGAAGGATATTAAGCTGAATTTATTAGTTAGTATTATATCATGTTTAAGACCACGCATTAAACGCAGAGAGTGGCTCACCCCTTCGACTATACAAATAATTAAGAACCTAACAATAAATATATCCCATTACCAATACGCTAAACATCACAGGAGGTACATTACTCACCGCATAAGGGCCGACAAAAGGCTGTTTATCGCTAATTTATCTAAATCTATCCAATTCATTTTGACAACAATAACATTTATAAGGCTTTCCAATCTCTTAAACTACTTACCATCTTCAAGACCAATCCTTTACCAAGACTACACTTAAATAACAATAAGATTATAACTGACCCAAAGGAACAATTAGACATATGGATAGACCATTACATGAACCTCTACAGAACGAGGTGGCCCAGACCTAGATGTGACTACCCTTTCCCTGAACAAGTTGGATATAATCGGTGCCATTAAACGACTAAAAATGCATAAAGCTGCTGAAGTCGATGGGATCTTTGCAGAACTCTGGAAGATAGATGTAGACTTAAGTGCCACTACTTCCCCTCTTTAGGGAGATATGGAATACGGGTAATTTTCCTGACGAATGGATGACATCAATAATACTAAACTTCCCTAAAAACAAGACCCCAAACAGCCTTAAGGATTACAGAGGTATTGCACTGCTTCCAGTTACCCTAAAAATGTTCACTTACATCATATCTGTCAGGATTAAACCAATCATCAACAGGTTCCTCTCTAACACTATCACATCATACAGGAAGGGTAGAAATACTACGGAGTTGACTATGGCTCTTAAAGTTATTCTGGAAAAGGCTAGAATGCATAAATCCTCCATCTTTGCCCTAATAATTGATTTAAGTCAAGCCTTCGATTCCATTATACAGCACAAAATATGGCCCTTGCTGGAAAACATAGGAATAGATAAGCATCTGATATCGCTAATTAAGATAATTTATGACAATCATAGTGTAGTACCTCAACATCTAAATGTAAAATCACAACCTTTTAAAGCAAATAGGGGCCTTAAACAAGGATGCATTCTCTCGCCTATTATTTTTAATGTAATAATGAATGATATCCTAAATAAATCCTTTAAACAAGAATATGCACTCAACACACATTACAGGGATCAACAGCACCACAATGCATAACTCTCTTAATTTTCTATGTTATACCGACGACGTGTGTATATTAGCTAACTCGGAATACAAGATAAGAAATATTTTATCATTATTTGTCAACAACTGTTATGAATATGGATTAAGAGGTAAAAACCAAGCTTATCACCTCAAATACATATGCGAGTAACTTAAACCCCTTTAACTTTGAGGGTAATGTCAAGAAAGCGAGATTTGACATTGGAAATCAAAACCTAAATATAAAAAGAAATATATACTAAAATTATAGTTGAATCCTTTATTAAATAATAATAAATATAATTAAATACAAAGTGAAAAACATAATCCAAATAAAAGAAAAATTAAAATTAATATAAAAAAAGAAAATTAAAAAGTAAATTTAAGTTGAAAATAATAATTTAATCATGCTTTTTCGCATCATAATTTCTCCATTATATATCCTTTTTCTTTAATAAACATTTGCATAGTCTCAATTTGTACCGAGATTTAATTCTTTTTTCTTGAGTAGATTTGAATATCTTTCGGCTTCGTAATTTTGTTTGAAAGTAATTTGCCTGTCTGACGTTTTTCTTAATCTAGTAAATTAGCATGTTACCACAATTACAACACCTTTCCACTTAGATTAGTCCCACCATCTGCGAATGATCTCCTTTCTTCCGATTTTGACTTTACTGATCTTGTTTCTATAACGAATCTATTCGTCTTAATTTTTAAAGTCTTCTAGTTTCTAACGACGGCGGTCTATTGTCTAATATTCTTCACTTCTAAGGACTGTTTGTATCCGATTACAATCTGAAATTCTTGATTCCTTCTGTTTCTTGTCAACCCCTTGTAAACGATTATCTCTTGATCTCTCTAGGCCATTAACGAACTCGATACTTCTGTTATCATGATTTCTGATACATTCTTCTAGCTCTTTTAATTATATTTCGTTTTAATCCCAAATTATCCTAGTCTTTGCTTGTTTCTAACGGTTTCTGGTAACTAATGACGGTAAACGACTAACGATAATTTGTCTGCGAGTAACGATTGTTTCCACGAATTCCTGTCTCTATATCAATTTTCGTATCTTAGACTAAAGTTTCCGTCGACACTTGGCTATATTGGTCAGCGATTAACGATTGCAGCTCGAACGTCTTGACCTTTTGTTCTATCTAGTCGCTTGTCTTTGAAGTTCTAGGCATCTAATTCTTGTAACCGTATAGATCTTATGACAGTTCCTAGATATCGACTTTGTCTTTATTCTCACTTGATCTTGGCCTCACCGTTTCAGATCGCATCTAATCTACTTCGACCTAAAGTAATCTATTTAACCCTTTATAACTTCTGAAATAATTTATCCCTTTTTCTTACATATTTATTCTTAAACTTGAACTACCTAGAATATATCATCTGTTCACTCCTTCTTAAGGTTATCACCTCTAATCTAATTCTTCCTTACAATCAATTTCTTAACTTCGAAATATTTGCTCACTTTTTCCTCTAAATTAGATCTTAAAATAATAATATAGTCAAAATATGCCAAATAATTATATATTTATATTAAATTCTACAACCCCTTTACCCTCAATGAAGTTCAGACCCATATCTTCATTGAGTTATTTGAGTTAGTAGTCCTTTAAATCTAAATTCTCTTGATAGTCTTGAATCTAAAAAAATTCTAAATATTTTTCCAAAATATAAATATATATTTTTTTTTTTTTAAATTTGCAACTTTATTTCCTCCTACTTTATTTGGCGCTCAAGTTTTTTATTTATTTTCTTCTCTATATTGTTTATATCCTTTGATAAAAAACTGCTGAAATATATAATCTCTTTTCGCACACACGTTGTTGAAAAACTAATGAAGTCTAATCATTATATTTTTCATATACATGTTTGTTGAACAACCACTGAACTCTATCATAATGGTTTTCACACCTACTTTGTTGAACATTTACTCTATCAATATGGTTTTCACACCCACGTTTTTGAACAATAAATGAAATCTAATCATTAAAGTTTTCAACACATGTTGTTGAAAAACAAGGATATATATTTCTAAAGCATGTTTTTCTTTCTGCTATTATTAGAATAATGTTGCATAATTGATCTCAAATCTTATTTATGATTCAAAAAATAAAAATCCGATCTCTAATTGAGCTCGATTGCGGCATAAATTTTCTAATGACGAAAGCCGTTTCTCTTTATGAAGATTTTTGGTTAATCTACAACCTAATATACTACATTCACATATCAAATCCTTGAGGCTGTTTTCTCTCGCAGCCCTTAAAATAAAAGTTAAACCTAAATCTTCAATAAGAATTTAATTACAACAACTATTTCCTAACAATAAATTTATATTCTAATCTTATTCGCCGAATTTTTAAATTATTATATCTTAGCAAACTATTAGTTTAACTTTCGCAATTTGTTTCTTTTTCTTTGTCGTTATTTCTAGTGATCAATTAATAATAATTCTAAAATCTAAAATATCATATTCTCTATTAGTTTCAAAATTCCAATGGTTTTAGTTTACCAGTAACTTCTAAATATAAAATTCCTAATTATCACCTTTAAATAACTAAACACAAACTTCTTTATATCTTATCTACTATGAATGCTACCTTTATAACTCTTTGATTTTAATTTTAGATTTTATATTCTACATAAACATAATCTTATCAATAATTTTTCTTTTTCACTTTTATTTACATATTTTTCTTACGTTCTTCTGGAATTTTTTTTTGTATTAGAATACCGTTTGACACTTTTCCCACCGTATATATTTATTTGCATTAGACTGAAAAGTTCTAATTGCCCTGTCGCCTCCTCTCTCTAACACCACTGTCAAGAAAGCGGGATTTGACATTGGAAATCAAAACCTAAATATAAAAAGAAATATATACTAAAATTATAGTTGAGTCCTTTATTAAATAATAATAAATATAATTAAATACAAAGTGAAAAACATAATCCAAATAAAAGAAAAATTAAAAAAAAGAAAAGTAAATTTAAGTTAAAAATAATAATTTAATCATGCTTTTTCGCATCATAATTTCTCCATTATATATCCTTTTTCTTTAATCAACATTTGCATAGTCTCAATTTGTAGCGAGATTTAATTCTTTTTTCTTGAGTAGATTTGAATATCTTTCGGCTTCGTAATTTTGTTTAAAGTAATTTGCCTGTCTGGCGTTTTTTTTAATCTAGTAAATTTGCATGTTACCACAATTACAACAGGTAATACGATAGAATTAGTTTCAGATTTCAAATTCCTAGGAACCAAGATAACATCATTAGGCTTCACAATATTAGATACGAAATCGAGAACTAATAATGTTAGACTCTGGTATCATCAACTGTCGAAATTATGGTCATCCAACCAAATATCAATTAATTAAAAAATATAAGTCCCTAATTGTACCCATTCTTACCTACGGACTGGAGACTTGGCAGGACACTAAAAGCAACATCAACGCAACTCAAACATTTATAAACAAATGCCTAAGAAGAATCACCAAAACATATTACTCATACAACACCTCAAATTCAACGCTCTGGAATAGATGCGACATCCTACCAATCAATCGACTCCTTCCCCTGAGGCAGTGTCTACATGAGCGGGGGGGGGGGGGTAGGAACAGTTTGCATCCTAATATCTATAGAGGGGTAGGGGGTAGGGGGTAAGTGGTAGGGGGTAGGCATTTGGGGGATAGGCTATAATAATCTAGAAAATTTTCCATTACATTTTTAAATTATCAATGGATAACATTTTGGTATTTTTAGGGGGGTAGATAT